AAGGGGATTTAACGCGCCAAGGACATATTCTGGGGCTGGCGCCGAAAGAGATGCAGTTTCCAAGTCAGTCGGGCGGGAAGTTTGTTCACTCTCCCCCTGCTCAGTTTCACAACAAACACTGGACTGAAGACGCTGTAAAAAAACTTTTGCTTTCTCTGCAGAGTTGAGGGACATCTTCTTGCTGCTCCTTCTCAAAAGTTACGCAAAAAAAATGGACTGCACCATTGTAACGCTCATGTTGGAGCTGAGCTTTCCGGAAGAAATCACAGACTGAGCTATAAGCTCAGAGAGGAACAAGTCACCCTTCTCGTACGTGAGTGGTTGACAATGCAGAAACACTTTGGCCATTGCATCTCCACAGGTGTTAATGCACACGGGAGTCACACCACTCTAAATACTGCTGCTAAAACACCATCGCTCCCCCAGAAAAGACAGTCCACCCATAGCTTCATGCCTCCTAGGGACTACTCCTAATGCCTTCTCTACAAAGCAAACACCAGCACTGGAAGCTCATGGAGATCTCCAGCTTTGATGGCCACTGCCATCACCATCTTCACCATCATGAAAACCAGAGGGGAAGGAGCAGGACCTGGAGGGCTGGAGCCAGGATCAGGTAGGGCTGGCTTGTGCCGATCCATCGCAAACACTGGGGAACAGACACGCTGCTGATACCACGACCTGGCAAGCAGATTTTGGCGTGTGACCATAATATCTTCTGTATGTGCAGGATATCTTCACCTGACTACCCTTGCAGCAGAGTTTGAAATGTCAAAAGAGGTTCATGCCCTACACAAGGCTGCATCCTCCCTATTTGATGGTCTAGAGAAAAGAGCAGTCACAAATTATCCACAGAGGGTGAACATGGAACAAGGAGGTGGCAAGATAGGCTTGGAAGTGGCACAAAACCGTACCTCAAGATTTCTGTTCCCTAATTCCCCTCCTGAAACTTCAATTAGGCTCATAACAGCAGGGGAGCATGTGGTTACGTTTGTCTCTGAACATTTACCAGGAGGAGGAGGAGAAGGGGTAGGGGGGGAGAGTCTCCTGCGGGCAGATGTTTAGCTGCAAGCAGGACACAACAGGGCCATTTCACGAAATCTGGATCCCAACAAGCAGGTTGTAGGATCCTGGGGATCTCACAACCCACAGTCAGAACAAGCTGTATCCAACCAGAGTTTGTCTCCCTTCAAGCAAAAATGGGTGAAAATGTCAGCCAATTAAGCTTTTTCCACCTACACCACATCAGCAACAAAAGCCAAACAGGATCCCAGCAGAGCTCTCCGGGAAGTCTCGCTTCAGCACATCTCAACCCTTAATGTTAAAATGTTATGAAAAACAGAACTGCTGCATGGCTGCCCCAAAGCCACCCTGTGAATAGTAATCGCTTCTGCATATTGAATATAATTGTATCTCCCATATTAAAAAGCTCTCTCTCTCAATTAGTGGAAAGTGACTCCCACAGTTCAATTTAAGGTTTAAATCTGGAAGGGAGAGCTTCTCTTTTAGTTTTTTTCCTTCTTTAATGTAAACCACATACTTGCAAAGTACCCATGGATAAGGCATTATAACAAAACACATACAGCTGTGATTCCGGGATCTCCTTTCCGTGATACGTTCAAGGATGCGTTTTCCCAGGAGCAGTGGTCAGCACACCACAAAAATTACAGCTACCGGCAACTTCTAATAAATCTAGCCTGTATAGAAAATACGATGATGTACATACAGTTGAACACATGTGTAAGAGTGGCTGGATTCAGGAATCGAACACAAGGGCACAAGGCCGTTGCCATGGTCTCAGACTAACCCTGCACTTGGCCTCTCCTGCTTTCAGGGAGCTCTTTGGGAACTAGACTAGTCAAAAGCTACCTACAAGTGGCCATCAGGACCTTTCAGTATTTCTAGCACCAGGGCAGGTGAGACTGAAAAATCATGCAAAATATCCCAGCTACGACTTTCTAAAAACTAAAGAAAAACCCCACTGGCAAATACAAAACCGAATTCTTGTGAGGACGGACAACGGTGATCTCAGCAGAAAACTCAGTCCCTGGCTATGAGGCTCACTTAGGTGACTTTGAACAAGGGAGCTGCCCTGTTAAATTGCACAGGCACTGTGACATGGCCTGGAGGTCAGGAGGGAAAATTGTCCAACACCATATTACACCTGGCCCTGGGTCACCTGTGCCCCTGTGGCCCTACGACATAACTATAGTTTTGTGGGATTGAGATGGGGGGAGGCAGTTCAAAAGGCTGGAAAAAGATATTAAAAGTTTTGCCTTAGTCCACTAAGTTGTTTTTATATTATTACATGTTTTACAGCACGAGGACGTGTATGGCAGGCTCTGGGGCAATGCTCAAGGTGGTCATCAAGAGTGTGAAGCCCATTGAGAAAGTGTTGAAAGACTGGGAAGGGCAGAGGGAAACAAAATTCCCCAAACTGTGAGGAAATACCAGCTGGCACAGGCCAACATGGTGCCAAGGAGCACACTAACTAACAGCAAAGCAGTAAGGCCATCAGGTCTACCTCTCAGCTTCCACTGTCTCAAGTGGGGTAACCATCACACTCTACTTCACACCAGGGGTGTCGAGGAAAGAGGTGCAAAGTGCTGAGCTGTTGTCGGACTGAAGAGCTGGTACAGAGGCAGGTTGGTAGTTTCCTTCCTCTCACCCCATCCAAAGCCACCTAATCAGGTTCGCCAAGGAACTAATCCTTTTACTTTGTGTGCAAATTTGTATCTCCTTTTCATTCTATCAAACACGTAATGATAGTCATTTCCCTAAGCCTGCTAAAGGTAGGCTTGGGCTAACATGACTTCATTGCTGACAAGTATCTCATACTTACTGTACGCTGCTAGGATTAAAGACTCGGGAGGAATTTTGACCTTTCCCAAGCTTTAATTTTGTTGAATTCATACATGGTAATAATCACTGCTGAGACTCCTTACAGCCACTGTCTCCAAGCTCAGGAGATACACCTAAGTGAAACCAGCCCCACAAAGTGATTTCCCTGGGTATAGCTGAGGCCTCGCAAAATGCTACGCAAATTCGTGACTTTCACTAAGTGCCTCAGAGGAATCTTCTTAACGCCAAGATAGGCACCATGAAGAAAAACAAATGCTTTGCTGTTCACCAGCGACACTGTTCTCTTTTTCTTAAATACACTTGAAAGAGGGCTGGAGGCAGCAGTTGCACCTAACAATCTTCATGAAAGCTGTTACGTTCAAGCCTGCCAAATAACATCCCTTTTTTTTTTCTTTTTTGCTTGTTGTTCTCTTGCTTTTTATCCTGCACTACCTTGATGGAGCACCAAAGGGTTTTTGCACTCGCACCATAAAAATACCTCTGAAAATAAAAAGCTGATTTTGAAGTACAAAGCCGCTGTTGTGGGACGCTGCAGCATCTGTTTTAGCATGCTATTTTTATATTTAGAAGCAGCATATCTCCACAGATCAAGCACAGCCGGTACGTCACTCAGCAACCCCTTCCCATCAGCTCTCGCAAGTCAGTGCCAGCAGACAGAGGGGGGACACGCTCCTCTCACCCTCCAACAGCCCTCCGCACCTCCGCAGCCCCGCACCTCCTCTGCGGCACGCTGCAACCTGCCTGATTCACACTGCCCAACCTGGTATCTCTAATGCTGGTGTCCTGCCAGCAGCCCAGCCCGGCAGCAGGACGCGAGCCTGCCGGCCTCCCACCTTGATGCAACGTGCCGCTTTTTTCCTTTTCTGGGTCACGCGGCGCGGTGTGTGTACGCTGCATGGCATATGTAGGAGAAACCATGCAATGAAATCAGGGGAGCCGCTGAAGCATACAGTCTGGTGCACAGCTCTGACCTGCACCGTCAGACTGCTCTGTCTGTGTCCCCCGGCCATGTTTCTGAGCCAGTGCCCACAGCTAGCAAATAGTGCATGTGAAAAACACCACAGCCAGCCTCTTCCATTAGGCGGCTGGACGACTGCGCTGAGAAGGTCCAGCAAGCCAGCCGAATGAACTTACACTGAGGGCAATATGCCCACAACGTGTATGCCACACGCCACTTGAACAGCTGGCCAGGATTTGTAGCTCCCTTTTCCCCCGTCTGAGAGTTGTCTGCCACTTACTGTGAGCAGAATCGCTGTTTGCAGCACAGAAGACGGTGCTGTGTAACGTGATCAGGCAGAACATGGCCAAGAAAAGCAGGGCAAGACATAATAAAGACCCAACAGCGGCAGTCAAAGAAAAGGTCACAGGACTGGCGCTTGGAGCACGGGGGGGGACACATCAGACAGAAAATCTCATCATGGCTCTGTGCTGTCTGTTACAAGGATGAAGGGTATGACATCCTCCCTGGCCAGGAGAAGCAGCATCTTCTCCATACATCTACACCCCCCCCATCGTTTTTCAGTTTACAGTGGGTGAGCACCACAGCTTGCAGGACTGGCAGTCTCCTGTGAGGGGACAGCACTGCTTCTGGGTGATGTTTTGCACAAATGTGAATGCTGGCTAATTAGAAGAGTGACATTTCAGCCCAGCAAAGTGTTTACGATGGAGGGGAAACACTCGCAGGTTTCTCCTTTGCTTCCAGCTAGGAGAGCTGAGGAGTGCTTGCACATGTGCAGGCAGGGGAGGGCAATGGGGCAGGGAGGGCAGAAAGGGGAGACACAACCAATGCGCACGAGCTCCCTGAGTGGAGTGATCGGTTTTGGCAGCCACCCTGGAAAAAAAGGCACCGTCAGCACTGCAAAACATGCAGGAAATCTTTAGCTGGCAAATGCAGATTTGTCTTTTCAGAGGCAGCGAAGAGTGGAAAAGGCCCAGAGTTGCAGATAAGGAAGGGAACAGTGATGGGATCAAGCCAGCTGCAGACACCGGTTAGTTCAACTCTCTCCTGGATGCAGCCTTCTTCTTGGAAAGGGGGTGTTGAAGGAAAACAAAGCCTGGAAGAACCTGGAATATCTTTATCTACGGACACAGCTTAGCAAATGCCACACACTTCCATTTTATGTAGAAGAAAACTGCCTTACCTGAGTAGTTTTCGCCCTTCTGCCTTGCATGCTGTTACTATGGCTAATTTGTGGGTTGGTGGCACCTTCGGAAAGGCAGTGCGATTTCCTGCAGGGCAGCGTATTGTAATTACTGTAGGAAGGCGCATCCTCAGCGGTAACCGATGCCATCTTATGGCTTCCAAAATCAGGGATGTCAGACACTAAATTCCGGCCGTACCCTCCAAAGGCATTTCGTGGGCCGCCATTGACGGTAGCGCTCGGGGTTTTGGGGGAATACAAGTCGCTCATAGAATTGGCGCGCTGGCAGGTGACCAGCGGCTGGGGGCTACCGCTGGCCTCTGTCCCCCGAGTGGCCTCAGCATCCTTCTCCTCGGCCAAGCCCAGGATTTCCTCGTTGCTCGTTAAATGCTCCTGGCTGAGGTCAGAAAGCGAAAACTCCAAGCTGTCCTCACGCCAGATGTCGGCCGATTTGGAGCGCTTCTTCTTGAAGCTGGCCGTCTCCATGAAGTTCGTTCCGTTGGCTGCGTACCGATGTGACCTCCCGTCGCCCTCCGCCAGGAACGGCGGCTCGTCCCCGTAGAGCCTGCTCTCCTCCGAGTCAGGCATGCTCTGGACGGAGGCGGCGGTGAGGACGGTGCTGCTGTCCACGCTGGGGGTGACGGAGGAGTCGGTGTGGTAGGAAACAGGCCGCAGGCCCATGTCCACGCGGTCCACCCAGATGGGGCTTCCAAAGTCCTCTAGGTTGGCCTCCTGGGCGAAGGGCTCCAGGCCGTTCTCCGCCAGGGACTGGGGGATGCTGGGGGTGCTGCTGGAGCGGGTGCTCACTTCTGAGTTACGGTGGATAATTTTTCCGGAAGAGGCGTGCCGCGTCCGGCGAGAGGCTTTATTGGAGAGGCGAAGCGAGCGGGAAGTGTGCTTGCGGCCCAGGCTGGCGTGCTTGTCTCCGTAGAAAGCGTGCTCCACGCTCTGGCTCTCCGCGTTTCCCATGGCGTCACAGTCTGCAAAGGGAGAGAACGGGGACCGTTAAAGCCGGCAACAGAACACGTAGGCAAGAAGACACACAGACGCCCCAGTACACCCAAATGAGGTTGGTTTTTTTTAATGAACCTGTCCCGAAACCTACACCACAGCTTCCTCCGGGTCTTGCAGGACGTGCTCTAACAGCGGCAACTAATCCCACAGAATTAATTGAGGAAGCCAGCAACAGTACCAGCGAACTTATAAATACAACTCAGTTAAATCAGTACGTAGGAAAAAGCCAGACCACAGCCACGCTGGCGTACATGAAGACTGTAGAAGAGGGAACGGCTGAACCTTGAAGCTTGGTCCTTAACGGGAGCCAGTTTACCCCCAAAGTGCACCGGTAATCGCAGCTCTGCACACATTCACTTGACTCCTAGTATTTGCTAATCCTTCACAATTTCAGCCAACACTACAAACTCAAAAAATCAACAGCTATTGTTTATCTGCATGTAACAAGATGCAAAAAAGTAGATGGATATTGGCCTTTATCTGAGATTTTACTTTTTTTTTTTTTTTTGCTAGGAGCTGCAAATTGAAGCACCAAATAGCAAAGTACAAATTCAACTGTTCGGCAGCGAGCTAATGATAGGTTTGATTTCTGGAACAAAAAAACAGTGCAACATTAAGCAGGTACAGAGAGCCCCACACAAGAAAGCCATATTATGAAAAATAAATTAGCATGAGTGACTCAGACTATACAAAAATAACCTTTCCTTCCTACTCACTCTGAAGCAGATAGCTAGATCTAAGTGCTTTGATCTAGCAAAGAGAAAACTGAGCTGGAACGCAGGGACTGGGTTTCTGTCCCCATCTCCGTACCTAGCCTCCTGCACTGTTCAGTTGCGCACATCCCACCGTGAAACAGGTTTCTGTCCAGAAGATGGGAGTGATGATCTGGATTCAACCTTGGAAAACACTTTTGAGGTCTGTGACCTCACTCAACAAATGTCAGAAATATTTTATCAGTAGTATTGGCTCCTTCTGGCCAAAGATCAAGAAGAAGAACAAGAAAAGTAAATGTTAAAGTACGTGGCTATTCAAAATCAAACAGGAGATCCTGAATTACATGCAAGACAATTATATCTAGATAAATAGTCCATAAATCTTGAACAGAAATCCCAAGTCAAAACTTCCTCATTTTGAGGTATTTCTATTAATCTTGGTTAAAAAAAAAAAAAGCTGTCCTGACAGGAAAATAACCTGGATTTTTAAATTTCTTGGGGCAATTCCCTCTCCTTCAACAGGATGTGCCGATGGGTATTGAGCCAGATGCTGGCAGAATGAATGGGATCGTGTATTTTTTCTCGCTATCTAAATATATGCTATTGCTGCCGCACAGAACTGAGTTAGCCCTACATAAATTACATATGAAGTGAGGAATCAGTTGTGCTAAATGCAGGCATGCAGTTCTGCTGCAGGCTGTCCTGGGCGCATGTGGTGGAATTGAACTTCTGCAGTGGTAACTTCTGGCCACAGTCAGAGGACTGCGCTTCTCTACTCTTTTACCCTCATGTCTGAGGCTAAAAATCTGTTCAGTGCTGAAGCAACAGGCACTTCCATAAATATCTGGACATTTCTGTATCTAAAATAAATATAATTACATGTCAAGTAAACTATACCAGGAAATACCCTATGTCTACTGAAATTAATGGCTGAACTCCCATTGACTGTCATGAGACTTGGTTATCATGCATCGTTTAGAAAAATAAATGCGCTGCACAGAGGGCAGGTTTTAATCTAAAAAAAAAATGACAGCATTATAAATCCCTGGACAGAGTTTATTATTCATTAAAAGCTACAGCCCTTTGATATGGACCGGACTGAAAAATCAGATGTCAGCTAGCTTTTCCTTCTAAAACATTTTATAGCACAAAAACTGCATTTTGTCTTCCACACTGATGTCTAAAACCAGACCTCAGCATTCCCCACCTTCCAAAAGAAACCCTCTCGGGGTAATGCTTTTAGCTGCTTTGATTCCGAGATTCTTGCTAACCACACTTTCCTTCGACGGGATGTCCACCGGCTGCAAAGCCCATCAGAGCATGCAACCATTTATCCCCAGTTTCCAGCCATGCAGCCATCACTTCAGTACTTATCTAAGGAGAAAGAGCAGTTTTAAAAGTCCTCTTGAAACCCTGAATGATTGAAGAGTGGTTCTTTACCTTCAGAAACAGAGCTGCCGAAGGGCAGGAGCGTCCCCCACACACCACATAGCAAGGCTCACTTGCTGATGAAAACGCCGGGCAGCGTGGCTACGGAAGACAGCCCTGTGCCACCATCTCGATGTAGTCTCCACGCACACCGGGCAAAACTTCACCCAGCCAAAAAGTAAGAGAACCAGAAATGACTTGGCGAGGGAAGGAGCAGCAACTCAGGCTGCGTCCTGTGAGGAAATAACGCCGCTAGAAGCACTCTGATGGAAGGAGGCAAGTTTTTTCTCCGCAGACGGTGGCAGGAATGTTTACTGAGTGGTTTCACACAATGAGAAGTATCTGCTAGATACTGGCAAGAAGTGTCAGACTTTGAAGTAAAGAGCTGTCCCTTTTTAATTCCGTGGATTGGCGCTTTAGGTGAGGACGCGTTTGCAAATCCCGCAGACGGCCATCTATGCCGGCGATTAGCCCATCCCTCGCTCCTGCACCCAGGAAGGACGACTGGAGAGGCCTTGCCCTACAGCCACTGATTTCCCCGGCATTACGTTGCAGGTTTGTGTGTTCGGCGCGGTGGGCACAAGCGGGCCGCAGGCAGGCACATTGCAGCTGATCCAGCTGCAGCGATGCAAAACGGCACCATCCCCGCAGCCTGTCACCGTCCCCTGCCAGATGCCAGGAGATGAGGGGCATAACAGGCTGAGCCCACCTCTAGTGGGGACGGCCAACCCCACCGGGTCAAATTAAGGGTGCCCACTTGTGTGGGCCTGAGGTGCCTGAGACAAGTGGCCCGAAGCGGCCTCCTTCCTACCTTCTCACCCCCGTTTTTGCCTCCCCTCTGCATTTCTGACTGAGCATTTCCACCAGCTACTCTCAACCAATTCAGGTGCTCATGCAGCTCAGTCCACTAAAACAGAAGAAAATAAATCCAGGGAGGGGGCGGCACAGGGACAAAGAGAAAAATTTAAAAAGACTTTATTTATTAGTTTATTTTTGCTGGGATAGTGAATTCAACCGGCCCATGCCAGAGGCGGCACAGAGCCAGGGAAGAGGGGACAGCGAGTGGCACCTCCCCCATTTTTTTGGCAGCAATGAGCTGTTAGGTCAGCTCAGGCAGATGTGGAAAGGCAGCCCTGAAACATGTGAATTTGCACTGAAGCAGATGCCGGCGTCCTCAGCTAGCAGAAGCAGGCGCTGGGCAGGGGAGGGGAGCCCCAACCTCCCCCTCCCAGGGGCAGCGGCAGATGAAGAGGGGACAGCGAGTGGCACCTCCCCCATTTTTTTGGCAGCAATGAGCTGTTAGGTCAGCTCAGGCAGATGTGGAAAGGCAGCCCTGAAACATGTGAATTTGCACTGAAGCAGATGCCGGCGTCCTCAGCTAGCAGAAGCAGGCGCTGGGCAGGGGAGGGGAGCCCCAACCTCCCCCTCCCAGGGGCAGCGGCAGATGCCCTGGGGCAGAAACATCTTAGGCTGCTCCAGCTTCGGCTGCCGGATGCTGCCTGTCTATGGCTTAACTGAATTTAGCACACTCAATGAAAAAAATCTGTATCAAATTAAGAAAATGAGTAATGTTAATGGGAGCTGCACACAAATGCTGGTAGGACAAAGGCTCCCCTTGTTAGCTCACCCCTCGAATCCGAAGGTGACCATTAAAGACCTATCAAGGTACCACCAGGATACAACATAAATCAAGCATGACACGTCTCAATGCTTTAAACAGGTCTGTCGCGCTCGGCCAGGGATTGCAACGTGTCAAAAATCTGTTCTGAATTATTCTCTGAAGCTAGCGGAGATTAGCGCGCACAGACCATGCACTGCAAGCAGAACTAGTTGGAAATTTTTCAGCAGAAAACGTTGATTCATCAAAACCCCAACTTTTCGTGGGAATAGACCGCTTTTGATCAAAGGCTCCTCTGCTCCAAGAGGGAGAGATTTGAAAACCAAAGCGGGGAGACAGGCACGTCTCCTGGACCACGCACCAGCTCAGTGACTCAGTTGCTCGCCGAAGACGCGGATGATCGAGATTCGTATCTGCAGCCCAAGTCAAGCAAATGAAGGGGTGGCAACTTGTTCCTCCAGATCCTCAAGGGGTGGCCTGACCATCAAGCTATCAGGCTGCTCTGGGAAAGGGCTCTCTCTCCCAGAAGATCTTTTCCTTACTGGTTCAGAGCCAGGAAAATCTCAAAATTGTGGAAGTCTTCAAGGGGCCAGCAAAGTCACCTTTTAGCCAGCTTGCACATCAAGAGACAGTACAAGGGGTTGAGTTGTTTGGGGTTTTTTTTCGTTTTAACCCAAAACTTAAGATTGATATCAACATTAGGATATCAGCAGGGAGAACACAAATTCTGCAGGAAAGCTTTGGAAAAAACAGTGTTCCCTACATCAACTACCCTAGACAGGCAGACTGAACGCTAGCTGAACTGCTGAGTTTTTGCTGGATGAGTCTTCATAAAATGGTTACACATGAAGATGATCCTATTCTAGATCACTGATGATGACCACTGATGACGGCCCCATCCAAGAATATGATATTCTTTGAAAACAGTCATTTTCCTTTGTCTTCCCTTTCCCCCGATAAAAAATATTTCTTAAAATAATTACAAAACCAAAATACTCATTTCAACCAAACCTAAGTTACTAACTCTCAAACTTGCAAAAAGTTGGGCCTTCAGATTCCAGAAGAAAATCTGAAATACATTCACTTTCTAACCAAATTTGAAGCACCTCGCAAGACAACAGATTGCAAATTTAAAATTAGATTCTAGTGGGAGGCCCTGGTGACAAATCTGTATTTTTCTCCTGGAGCGGAGCTTGAAGGCTGTGAG